GTCAGTTAAAAACAGTAACTACATTCACGGATTATCCAATTTTAATTACTCATTTTTAAATTCTTTTTTTCTTCCTAATTTAACTGAATAAATATTTACAATATTTTTAATTAAAAGAAATGCTATAAGTTGATATATTATATGTTATATAATGAAAATCAAAATCTTGTGCCATAACTTGAGAATATGACTACATAATATGCTATATATCTAATTTACACTAATTATAATTACCAACATGTATGGACTATAATCTTTATTAGATCATTAAGAATTCTAACTTCCAAACATGAAACAAATATATTAAAAGTTAAAAATTATGCAAAAGTATAAGAGATATTCAAAAATTATACTAAAGTATTTTTACGTATAAAATAAAATTTTAAAATATATATATAATGTCGGGTTGATTAGGTCTCGAGTTGTTTTTTTAGTTGAAACCAAACCAACTCATATATAATCAGATTTTTTTTCCAACATCAAATCAAATCAAACCAAATCACTAATCGAAATTTTTTTCCGATTTGACTCAATTTATAATTTAATTAAGTTTTCAATTCAAGTTTGTACACCTATATCATTGGAATTGATCCATCAACTCTAATCACCTCTTCATCTCTTGTCCACTTGTGCAAAACCTAATTAGTACTCCAAGATCCATCATTTTGTCAACAAGCAAATCTATGATTTAGAGTTAGTCGATTTAGAATAAGTAATATTTAATTATTTTTATCTATGTATATATAATTCAAGCAAAAAAATAACGAGTTCAATTAAAATCATTCATTTTTGACTCGCTTAATTAGAAAAAGAAGTAGAAGAGGAAGATGTTGAGAAAACTTCAACTTACTGATGGCAATGCAGTAGGAAATGCAGATATTTTACGAGAATGAAGCATTAATTGAAATGTGGGAATTATGCTGAGAGAAAAGGTAAAGAAGCGAAAATAAATTCTTTCTGAATATTGTTTCACAAGTACGTGTATATATACATATACATATATATATATATATGTGTGTGTATGCATTTTCATGAATGTTTTCTGTTGATTCTAAAGAATGAAAAAGCATAAAACCAACATAAAGTACTACCAAATTTCTAGATTTAAAAACTTCTAAAATTTGACAATTACAGTTTCTTGAAATAAAATTTATATATTTAAAACTATGTAAACTTTTTTTTTTAAAAAAAAAATTACAATATTTTAAAATATTTAAAAATATATAAAAGAAATTTTGATTAATTCTTTTTGAAGGATAGAATAATGATATTTTAACGAGTTGGGAACAAAAGTAACTCACAAAAATATAAAAGTAACTAAAATAAGCCACTATTTTAATAAGTAACTAAAATAAGTTTAGTGGAAGAAAAAGTTCCACTATATCCAATTTTCTAAACGTTTTCCGTTACTGTCATAACATTTATTTTTAATATATAAAGGAACTTTTTCTTCCACTTTATAAAGTGAAACTTTTTATTCCACTTTATAAAGTGGAAGAAAATCTTCCACTTTATAAAAAGTTACATTTTCATCTTCTCCTCCACTTTCTCTCCTTTTTCTTTTCATGGCTTCCAAAAAAAATCACTTTGAAGATGGTCATCTGCATCAAAAATTCACTTAAAAAAATAAGTGTTAGACATAGCGATAATCATCTGCATCAAAAGTAGGCGAGACATGAAAATTTGAGAATGTCCCAATATTTTTCGTCATAACTTGGAGCAATATTTCTATCTTGCTGAGGTAAACCGCTACAAAATATATAATAATAAGAATAATAAATAATATAAATTAATAAATAATTGACAAAATCAACAAACAATAACTGAAATATATTAATTGAGCATTACCGATCACTATCATTGATAGTTTTGTTTAAATCAAAATCATATCGACCAGTAAGAGTATTTTGATAATGAGTCATTTTAGGAAAATCAGTAGATTGAGTTATCGAAAATCCATCAATGCTATTATGATTTTCTAATTAGGAATGAACATCGACCGATAAAGGAGAACGTTGTTGACTAATCTTAGGCTCCTTCCTAACATATATTCCAAGTATTGTTGACTTGATTTGATCTATATAGTCATTTGGAACCCTTAAAAAGTCGGTCAACGAATTCGTCATTATATATAATTCACTCTCTAAAATTTACTTGTCCTTGTGATAAAAATGAAGTAGGGTATTTTTCGGCTATAATCAAATTATAATCGTACTGTTTATACTCATTCTTTTATAAATTGATGAAATAAAATTATGATATCGGACATTTATTGGATATTTAGCATTGTGTTTGGGAGGACAATTATAATAAATGATATTTCCGTCATGTATAATTTCGTCATCTCAATAAATTGAAACTTTAACTTTACGTGTAGAAGATATTTTTTTTAGATTGAAATGAACAAATATAGAAGACTTTATGTTGTAGGTGCTATCAACTATGCATAAACGTCCTTAAATAGATTTTTCAGAATAAAATAATAAAAATACATAATGAAATATTTTTTTCCGTTTTAATGACATATCAAATCAATATAATTTATATGACAACACTGAAAAAGCTTCTTCAAGACGTGAAAAATATTCTTCTTATAAAGTGTAATAAAAAGTTCCACTTTATAAAGTGGAAGAAAAAACTCCACTTTATAAAGTGTAAGAAAAAATTCCGTTATATATTAAAAATAAACGTTATGAAACTAACGGAAAACGTTTAAATTATTGGATATAGTGGAACTTTTTCTTCCACTAAGCTTATTTTAGTTACTTACTAAAATAATGACTTATTTTGGTTACTTTTATATTTTTGTGGCTTATTTTGGTTCACAATTCTATTTAACTTGGTCAAATAAATTGGGACAAAGGGAGTAGGTCCTTGATTTAGATTATTGGCTCTGTGTTGAGTACTCCTGTTTTGACAAAGAAGCTTTAAGATAGTGATGTTAGCATAAGATTTCTTTTTTGCATAGTCATCCACAAGATTTTGATTTATCATGTATTATGGAGTGTTACCTTGTAATAAAATTGTTTTCTCGTTTGTGTATTTAATAATTAGTAGCACCGCAAAGATTTACATACTTGAGTTTATAAAGCGCTAGGTTAACATCAAGCTGGAATAGCTCAGTTGGTTAGAGCGTGTGGCTGTTAACCACAAGGTCGGAGGTTCAAGCCCTCCTTCTAGCGTATTCTCTCTCTCTTTTTTTTTTTTAATTTTAATTTTTGAAAACTTCAATTATTAGTTATTACCATTTGCCATCCACTCATGGGTTAATTTGTCTAGGCAAATTACAGAAATAACATATTTTTAAGGTAAAATTATAATCTATCTTTTAAAAGTTTATAATTACAAAAATTTCTCAAAACAAATTCAATAATATAAGTGCTAATACATTAATCTGATGCGTGAGATACATTACATCTTATACACGATACGCTTATTTGATGTGCGAGTACACTAATCTGATGCGCGAGGTACATTTTATGCATGATACACTAATATGATGCATGAGATACACTAATGTGATGCGCGAGATACACTAATGTGATGCACAAGATACATTAATTTGATGCACGAGATACATTAATGTGATGCGCGAAAATGAGAGATTTTAAAAATTTGTAAAACTTATAGGAGATAATGGTAATAAGTAAACCAAAGGTGAGATTTCCGTAATTAATCCAATTTATTATGGATTTTATTTAGTTTATTGGGTCGAATTTTGGTTCGGGTTAAAAAAGAATTGGATAATTTTTAATTAAGATTGAGTAATTTCAATTGATTTGGAGGTTTCCATCAAAAAAAGGATATATTTATTAAATTTATTGCCGAAAAAGATAAGATCAACCAATAAAACAATATTAAAAAATAATTTTGACTCTTTCCTCTATATAATAAAGAAAGATTTTTTTTTCATTAGCTATCCTTTACTCAATACCCCAAACTCTCCATTTTTTATTTATTAAGATTTTTAAAAAATATTCTTATTCCACACAACTGCCTACCCCGACTTTCCCCGCTCCTTGTGCTAAAAAAAAAAAAATTAAAATTACTTTTGAAATAGAATATGTTTTCTTACCCCAGAAATTTTATTGGGCGTAGGTAGATAGTGAGGTGATAAAAAATATTTGTTTATAAAAGAAAAAAGTTCTTCTTATCTTCTTTAATCGTGTAAAGTTATCGCATTTAATTATTAAATATTTATTTTATTAGATATATTTATGTGTATATCATATTAGTAGAAAAACTCATATATAACATATATGTTTGAGCAAATGACATGATGTATAAGAAAAATGTTTTTAAATTACTTAAAATTAGTTTTTTTTTAAACTATCAATAATTGAGGTTCTAAATAATAACTCACACCGAATCTAAGTTTGTTTTCAATACTTATTATTTATTTTTTAGAAAAAAAGAACTACTTTTTCCAATTTCATTTCCATTCAAGGAAAAAATTCCTCTATAACCCTTTTAACCACCTCTCAAATCACCCGGTCCTTGCGTTTATTTCAGCAAAGAATCCTAGAATTTTGGGATAATATCTTTTGACAAACAACAAACTTAAATTTTGACTTGAAAATTTCACTTTCTTGAGGTATTTATTTTCCTCTCTTTCATCCACATGATCTTAGAAAAAACACCCTCTTAATTTGCATCTTATAATTTCAATTATCATGGCTAGTTTGAAATCAGGGGTTCTTGTAAAGTTACTTGAAGAAATGAAGATGGTCGAAAATATGATAGTCGAAGATCGAAAACCAATCTTGTTACAAATCAGAAGCATAATTCCTGTTCTTGAAGAAGGTAATCTCTTGCTGCCTAACAGAGGATTTTACCTCAAGATTTCAGATGTATCACACGCAATTTACGTCACATTGCCCCAAAACCAAAATGAGTTGATTTTAGGCAACAAATTAAAACTCGGACAATTCATTTATGTACAAAAATTAGAGGATGCAGAACCATTTCCATTGCTCAAAGATTTTACGCCTCTGCCTGGTAGACGTCTGTGTGATGGAACCCCTGAAGAAATTGGTAAGGTTCCAAAATTGGAAAAGAATATTCTTGATGGATCAAATTCTGATTTTATCGTCGAAAAGGGTGTTATTTCTGAAGAAAATATCATGGATATATCCTCTTGTTTAAGAAGGTTGTCTTTAGAGTCATCTGATGTAGATGAAGTGAGGAAAAAAAGTAGTAATACGAATGTTATTGACGGAAGTAGTAATACTAAAAGGAAGTTTAGGTCCTTGAGTGCTTCGAAAACTCGTCCAGGAGTTAAAAGATCAGGTGATATTGATAGTATGAGGTTAGATGGTAGGTGTAGGAGAATGTCTATTGACAATGATAGCGATACAGATAGCACGATATCTTCAGTTTCGTCGTCTACATGGACTTCTAAGAGGAAAAGTTGGAATGAGTTAAAAAGTTTGGGAGCTGAGGAGATTTTTGATTCTTCAGTTGTCAAACACAATATCAGACCACCACGTTGTCGTAGTGCAACTGTGAGTTCCTTCAAATTTACTAGTTTTCTCAATGTTCCATCTTTTTTTGTTTGATGTACTCGTGGTAGAAATTTGTTAAATGGTCTCAGATATACACTTTAACTTTACCAAATGTTCAATCTTTATCTGTTATGTCAACAGGTTTCACCTGTTCGTTCTACCAAATATGATAGCTCAGATGACAATTCAAGTTCACTATCAAGAAGAAAGGTTGTTAATGTTGAGAAGAAAACAGTCAAGGCTTCAGCTAAGAGCAAGAATTCTGTGTCAAAGATCAACAGTGAACAAATTAACCGTCCAATTAAAGGATTAGTATTTGACAGACAAGGGGCAGAAAGTGGAATTTCATGGGATTCACTCTCCTCGAGTTTGGTGGAGCTTGGGAAGGTACTGAGTTCAAGTGTAGTTAATTGGCATAACTTGAATGACATTATTGAGAAATTCATAATAATAACTATGTCCGCGATTTTCTATTGCATTTCAGGAAGTTGTAAAGAAAAGAGACATTGCTTTGTTTGCAGCTGCTGAGGCTTTGCAAGAAGCTTGTGTAGCTGAGAGGTTGCTCAATTCCTTAAGGTGATTACTTTTTCCTCCTTTTTGCTAAATGAATCTTACAATTTTCGACAACTTTCTTCTTTACGTTGAATCTCCTTAATAGTCGTAATGACCATACAACAAAGTTTGTTAACTCGCAATGTGCCAAGATAAATGAACTCAAACTGGAGTTAAAAACTTTCATGTATACTATCGCCTTGTTTGAAAATCTGTTCACAATACTATAAGGACTATCTTGGTAGTTGTTATCCGATTTATGTGCATTTCGTTTGTTGCATTCTCTTTTTCTTCTCTATTATACGGTTCGATTGCCTTGTGAATCCTAAAACATAGAAAGTTGAACAGAACATTTTGTTTTTTCCAGCAAATTCTCGGAGTTCCATTTACCTGAAGATGATCTACAACCTTGTATTGATACGTTTTTGGATCTTCAAGATGATATGGCTCAAACAAGACTAATAATCAAGTGTCTAACAAATATAAGTCCATCGATAACAGAAGAAACTGATTCAAGTAGCACCAGTGCAGATACTGAAGCATCGTCAATCACAGTGCAAAGAAAGAAAAATGCGACTACATGGATAAAATCAGCTGTGGCATTAGATCTTTCACTATCATCCGCTGCTCTCAATCCAATTCCTAACAGTAGGAACATCACCAATACATTGAAAAAGTCGATAACATCGAGTGACAGTACCAAACAAAAAGGCGCAATCATTGTTAAAACTGATCATAATAAGAACACGGATGACATTTCTCCTGTATTGACATCTAACAATGACACGCAACCTGAATGGACGAGGGGTAGCACTATCGATGCAGCTACTCACCTAGGTTCTTCGTTGTTGGACGATTGTAGAAAAAGGTTTTTGGGATACATAGAGAAATATATCAATGAACTTGAAAGGAAAATGTCGTTGATGGTATCAGATAATCAGGTAGCAGCAATGATGTATAAAATCAAGAGAGTAAATGACTGGTTAGATTTGATCATCAACAAAGAAGGTTCAAATTTGGATGACTCAGAAATTGAAACATGTCATAGAGTGAGGAACAAAATATATGGCATCCTACTTAAGCATGTAGAGAGGACTGCAATGGCTTTTGAAAGTAGCAAAGTGCTCCGTTACATCGTCGATAACTAAAATTTTAAATATCAGCTCATATTTATATTCAAACAGAATCCCCTCTCTATGCAGGGAAATTGTTTTGTTTTTGTATATATCAATGTCGAATCCTGTTTATATGAGGGAAGATTTTACTGTAGCCAAAAATTGATTTAATTTTTTTAATTAAAAATTGATGACGTATAATTCGGCTACATCATCATTTTTTTTTTGAAAAAAATCAAAATTCTGAATAAAAATTGAATTATGATTCTTTTATTTAAAAGATTGATGACGTGACCGAATTATAATTGATCACGTGTCAAAAATAGTTTTGCAAAATCACCGTTAAAAAATAATGGCATGAATGCACCTTTTCTTTAATGATAAATAGCATAAATGAGCACTTCAACTAGTCTCCATGTTCCTTGAATAGATCTCTTTGTTGTTGTTGTCAAACTTTTGACTATGGCATAAATAAGTCTTTTTTAAAAGTTTAATAGCATATTTGAGCTTTTTTTTCTTTTTTTATTTTCAAAGATGTAATAGTTTTTGAAACAAGATTGAATTCATTGATATCATGCACAATAGAATGTAATATATCATTAATATGGTTTAAGACAACAAGGTTGTAGCACAATATTTTTCAAATTCTTAAAGTTTTAAGACATTGAGTCTTCAAAATGTTTTCTTTGGATTGCGAGAATTATAAAATGTATCAGTATTATAGTAAAAAGACATTTTAAACTATCAGACATTTAATAACAGGAAGCCTCGTAAACTATTATCATCAATGTCACCTATACTCAGTAATTAAGACTTATGTTATCGATATTTAACATCTTATTGTCACGCTTAATTCAAAATTAGATTATCAGCTCAACACTTGTTGAACATGAGTAATGACGAAAATAACGACTTATAGAAAATTACATAAGTATTATTAAAACTGAAAACTGACCGTTTGTTTACGTGGAATAAGTTGGTTGGTTGAGCTTCGTCATAACAATGGGCTCTATAAAGTACCATTTATCACGTGGGTATTGATTGGGGATATGCTTAAAGATGGTTCAACCATTTTCCAATTTTCATTAAATTTCAATTCTGAGGTAAACAAATTCCATTAGTTTCCTAAACGAATAAGTAATGAATGAAATTTATTTTTTTAACTAAAATTACATAAAAACCTTATCTTAAGCCTAATAATATATTCCCAAAAAGACTAAATTAAGCGTAAATTGGAATTCACTCAGATTTACCATCACACTCAACACGAAAGGCTCACAAAAACAAAACAAGAAAGAAACCCAGAAGTTTCCTCTATTAACGAGTACGGTTCAAGATTTTCCCTTTTACCCTCCTTCCATTTCTTGGATTTTCAAGAAAATGGGGGTTTCTAAGACTTCAAAAGCTACAATCTTTCTAGGGTTTCTTTGGCTGAACCTGTTTCAATCAGTAGTGGGTCGTTTCGTGGTGGAAAAAAACAGCTTAAGGGTCGTTTCACCTGATGATATTAAAGGCACTTACGATAGTGCAATTGGAAACTTTGGGATTCCACAATATGGAGGTAGTATTCCTGGGACTGTGGTTTATCCAAAGGAAAATCGAAAGGGGTGTCGAAATTTTGAGGATTCTGGGACTTCTTTTAAGTCTAAGTCTGGTGCTATGCCCACTTTTGTTCTCGTCGATCGCGGAGGTATGTGGTAGATGCTCGCTATTGGCTCAGCTTACCTAGCTCTTTGTAGGATTTTATAATCAATTTTATATAATTTATTGTGTGTTCGATTGAAATGGTTGTGAATAGAGTAGAATGGGATATTGGGGATTCATATAGTCGACCTGACTTATTTGATTATGAGGCATAGCTGTAGTTATTGACTTGGTCCTTGTCTTTATTGTTGCTGGTTTGGGGAATTTTTTTGTTGTCATTTTTTTTGGATTGTATCAGTAGTTTTTGCTTATAAAGGTAATGATACTTAAAGTTGATAGCTTTATTGTTGAAGTCCTATTGCTTTTCTTACTGTTTGTAAGTGGCATATCATTTGTAGTGCTTCTTTTAGTATTTCTAATAGTGGCTGATAAATTTTATGCAGCTTTTAGTTGGACTGGATTACATAGGCTTACCCTTATAGTTGATTTTGAATCCCTCAACACTTTTGGTTCTCTTTTTTTAATTTAATTTTACAATTTGGAAGTGTAATTTGGATCCCAAAAGGTGTCAATAGTTCACTGATACTTTGAGAAGTAATCGGGGATTGAAAAAGAAAGTGGATGTAATCATTTGTAGTTAGAAAGAGGTCGTTTGTAAAATTATCAAAAGTTATGGGGAGTTGCCTTTTTTCTTGTTGGCAGATTGCTTTTTTGCTCTGAAGGTCTGGAATGCACAAAATGCGGGTGCTGCTGCAGTTCTAGTTGCTGATGATGTCGATGAAAGATTGATAACCATGGACTCGCCTGAAGCAGATGGTTCTTCTGCAAAATACATTGAAAACATAACAATACCATCTGCCCTCATTGAAAAGAACTTTGCGGAGAAGTTGAAGAAAGCTGTAAGTGCAGGGGAAATGGTTAATGTGAATCTTGATTGGAGAGAAGCTGTGCCACACCCAGATGATCGTGTGGAGTATGAGCTCTGGACAAGTAGCAATGATGAATGTGGCTTCAAATGTGACATGTTGATGAAATATGTCAAAGATTTCAAAGGTGCAGCACAAATTCTCGAGAAAGGTGGATATACTCAATTCACACCGCATTATATTACTTGGTATTGCCCTCAGGCATTCACTGTCAGCAAGCAATGCAAGTCTCAATGTATCAACCATGGAAGATATTGTGCTCCTGATCCTGAACAAGATTTCAGCTCTGGATATGAAGGGAAGGACGTTGTTGTTGAGAACTTGAGGCAGTTGTGTGTTTTTAAAGTGGCCAATGAGACAAATAAGCCATGGGTCTGGTGGGATTATGTGACTGATTTTCAGATTCGGTGTCCCATGAAGGAGAAAAAATATAACAAGGAATGTGCTGATGCTGTTATCAAATCTTTAGGTATTAAATGCTTCCCCTCAATGCCCTCCAATTATCATCAGTGAACAGATAACAGATTAATGTCAATATTTCCTATCTGCAGGTCTTGATTCAAGAAAGATTGAGAAGTGTATGGGAGACCCTAATGCTGATGAGGACAACCCCGTTCTGAAAGAAGAGCAGGATGCCCAAGCAAGTTTCTTTATCTTTCCTAAACGTTTAAAACAGTTTAACTTTGTGCAAACACTTAGAAAAGTAGAATTCCTATGCAGATTGGTAAAGGAACAAGAGGAGATGTCACCATCTTACCTACTCTTGTTGTCAACAATCGACAATATCGAGGTTAGTGCACACACTTACTCCTGTCTTCAACTGAGAACCTTTATTCTTTCTTTCTTAATGCTTCTTCTTTCAGGGAAATTGGAGAAGGGTGCTGTTTTGAAGGCTATTTGTGCTGGTTTTGAGGAGACTACTGAGCCTGCAGTTTGTCTGAGCGATGGTGAGTGCACATGATTCTTAAATCTAAATATCAACTAGATGTTTAATCACAACATATAATGGTTCTTTCTTTTATAACAGATGTGGAGACAAATGAATGCCTGGATAATAATGGTGGCTGCTGGAAAGACAAGGCTGCTAATATCACTGCCTGCAAGGTTCTTGCATTGAATTGTGGAATTTTCACAACAGTTTCTGTATCAAATTTTCTAACAATCCCTGTTTTCTTTCTCTTTTCTTATTAACTATTAATCTGTATGAGCAGGACACATTTCGTGGTAGAGTCTGTGAATGTCCTGTGGTTGATGGTGTTCAGTTCAAAGGAGATGGTTATAGCTCTTGTACCGGTAAACTAACACCTTTGCTCCATCTATTCATTTTGAAATGATGGTTATGCTAATTATGGATCATCCAAGTGCTGTAAATTCAAGAGTAGAAAATACTAAAATTGTATGTCTGTGTGTTATTAGATCAGAAAAACAAATAGGTAAATATTCTAAGAATATTCTTTTTTGTGCATGCAACCGTACATTGGTTTGTCTTTTTTCTTATTTATAAAATCAAATCTAAGTAATGTCCTAGCAAACCTTCCGTCAATAATGATATAGTATTCATCAGTTAGCAGAAGTCTGGGTTGATTACCAAGCTAGTATCGAGGTGTACTTGATGTTGTCCGCGTAAATGTTTCTATCATTTGGCTCTCTTTGATAGGTTGTCTAGGGCCAGCAGAGTTTGTTGAGGATTGCTCCCTCTCTAACTATTGTAGACCTGTTGGTGTGAAATACATCATTTTATCTCAGGAGGCTGGGTCAGGTTGTCTTTGCATTTATCCTTTTGGACTCATAAGGCAAAGGTGGATAGAGTATGATGATGGTTGTTACCCGGGCACAAGCTAAAATGAAGTACAACTTAGATGCACATAAATTTCGTTAGAAGCAAACTTCACATATTTGTTATGAAAAATGACTGCAGGTATTAATAAGATGATTGAAACTAACCCAGTTTTGGGGGTGACTTTAAACTAGGAAAGCATGTAAAAATAATACCAAAAATCTTCCCTAAAGAAATAATAGAAAAGTTTCCAAATATAGAACCAAAACACGACCACTTTTGGATGTGACCCAAAATGGGCATGAGAAGCAGCTCCTAAGCAGCCCCTTTGGGTTTTAATTTGCTGCCATATGGGCATGCATGGCAGCCCATTTTTGGGCAGTATATAAGTCCCTTTGTGGGCAGTATATATTTCCTACTTGTCACTTATTCCTAAATAGATTTTCATTTTACTTGTCAATTTTGACATATCAAGAAAAAACAATAAACTTTTTCATGTTTTACCCTCAGCGTTAAATACTTATTTTCCAAGACATCATTTTATAGGGGATAGTTTGGTTTGAAAAAAGAAAGAAGAGAAGGAACTTGGAGTTGGCGCCAAATTCCTATATCATATAATTATTTTCTTAATGGGTGCAACAAGTAAAAGTGAACAAAGGAAGTATTAAAGAAATGAATTTATTTTGTGAAAAGTATGATCTAAAAAGTCTAGCTCTCAGAGGTTGAATACAGCTCATATCTGATTACTTGAGAAACATTTGTCTTAATGTTTCTTCTTTCCTCAATCTTTTCTACTCCCTTTGTCCTAGTTTATATGTCTCACTTTTTTAGTTAGTTCCAAAAAGAATGACACATTTTTATATTAAGTAATAATTTAACTTTAAAATGTCTATTTTATTGTTAATAAAATGAGTTATAGCGACAAAAATTTCTATATATTTATTTTAGGCCACAAGTTTTAAAAGTCTTCCTTTCTTAAACTCTGTGCCGATTCAAAGTACCTCACATAAATGGGATGGAAAATGGGACGGAGGGAGTATTTCTTTTTATTTTTTCATACACAATTTTCCCGTCTCATATTATTATGTTGAGACTTCAATAATCTAATTCCACCATCTTCAGCAAGTGGACGTGGGCGATGCAAACTCAACAATGGAGGCTGTTGGCATGATACTCGAGATGGTCACACTTTCTCTGCTTGTGTGGTTAGTTACTCATCTCTTGTAACTTCACTTTGTTATATGTATCTCCACATCCCATTTTCAAACTGGTTCAGATTTGAATGCTTAGCATGTTCTAACAGGATAACGAGGAGGGCAAGTGCACCTGTCCTCCAGGGTTTAAAGGTGATGGTGTTAAAAGCTGTGAAGGTAAGCGGTTTTTCTTGATTATGATGAAGTTATTGTATTAGGGAATAAGCTGGTTCCCCCCCACCCCCACCCCCACCCCCCACAACAACCCCCATGCGCCTGCAAGGGATGTGCTGAATTGCTGCTGGGAATTAGATAACCTGCAAACATTGTACGAGATGAGCTTTTTGTGTATGCAAACTGAGATCTATCATTGGTATTTCACTTTAACCTCTATTATTGTGTATTGTGTTTCCACTTCATAGATATTGATGAATGTAGAGAAAAGAAAGCATGTCAATGCCCTGAATGCAGCTGCAAAAATACATGGGGCAGTTATGAGTGCAGTTGCAGTGGGGAACTACTGTACATCAGAGACCATGATACCTGCATAAGTAAGTTCATATAGTCCAGACTTCATTCAGAAATGTGCATAATTTTTCATCCAAAGTAAGAATTGGTCAGGACAACTTTCATTTTTAGGCAAGAGAGCTAGGGAAGTCAAATCGGCATGGGCTGCAGTTTGGGCTATTTTGATTGGATTGGCTATGGCTGGTGGCGGCGCATATCTTGTGTACAAATACAGATTAAGGGTAAGTTTAGAAATCATTTGGACTTGTATTGTTGATTTTTAATAGTAGTTCTTTTTAGAGTATTTGACTTTCCCATGAAAATCTTGGTAAACAATCTTCTACTTTACTTTTAGAAGTTTTATTTGTTAGTGAATAGATAATTGACTGACCAGAGCATTCTCAGTAATTACTATAGGTAGATTGTTTGCTCAAAATAAATGGGTTGCCCCATATCCGAGAATTAATCGTCCTTTTTGTTCTCACCAGCTTTAGGAAAGAGTAATTCTTAGTTCGGAAAGAAATGTTTATCCTCCTTTTTCTATTATATACAGCTTGATTTTCTATTTTACTCCGACACTAAACACACTTGTCTCTACTTTGTTCCATTATGTGTTGGATAAACGAAGGAATAAGTTGAAGATATTTGTTTGTCTATGTCTAACATATACTTAAATGATGATACTTGGTTAATTAATCATCTCCTTAGCTTATTACTAATGCTGGAAGACAGAAATACAAAACTTGGCAATACGCTTGTTTCTGGACATTGCTTGTTTGTTTGGATACACACTAATATCTCCTTTGCCATTACATCCTCAGTCATACATGGATTCAGAGATCAGGGCTATTATGGCACAATATATGCCTCTGGACAGCCAAAACGAAGTCCAAAGTCATGTCAACGAGGGTCATGCTTGAAATAGATATCGTCATGCCACCAGATATCCAAGATGAAGTCCAAATGTTGCCAAGCTCGCATTGCAGATGGAAAATATTGTCCGTAATTATTCTTGTGAGAAATTGGATGAAGTGGCAGATTCAGATTCATTTGCCTTCTGTTTCTGATATAGAAACTGAAAGTAAATTCTTACATCTGTTATATACAGGGGATAATAAAGACAACGTAAGATTGTTGTTTTCTTTCTTTTAATTTATCTGCTACTCACCTCTCATTTTATGATGTATCGTTGAGGGTCTTGTAATAGGCATCAGTTTAGGGTCAGGATAACGAGTTTGTGGTAGGATTTGCAGCTGTAATATGGATGAGTTGTATCACCATAAATTTAAGTTGGTGCATGCAGTCATGTAAAATTGCGTCTCTGCGTCTCCTTTTCGTCTCGACTCACAAGTACTTCTGTTGTATTAAAGAGGCTCACACTATTAGAAGCTGTGATATATGTGAAGCAGGGTTACACTAGAACATGTAAATCTTGCCGAATGATATTCGTTCTTCCACTATGTCTTGTTGCATGAATATTTACTGTTGTAAGACCTGGTTTAAGTTTCGTTTATAGGATTCTAGATCTAACGAAGTTGTGTTCACAGTCTGATATTTGTGAATTTGTTAGTTTGTAAAATCTAAGACACTTGCTCATGAAAGTCTTAACCACGTGTCATAATATTCATATGGTTTTGATTTTCAATGTATGTTAACTTCCTAATGATCAACATTATAAGAAAATGCTAAACGAATAGGAAAAATAAAAACAATAAAGAACTTCCCATTATGTTTCCATAGAGAGGAACTTATTACACTTAAAAATGTTTTGATGATTAATTGATAATGGATAACACGACAGACAAAGTGTTTTAGTTTTAAAGTGTTAATTATTAACTAGACAATTATACAAATGGCAATAAATTATATGTATGATGATGCTCTCCAACTGCAATTAACCTGAGAATGCCTTTAGCTGAATTCATCAATCCTCCAAATTTACGGTTTTGGATTTGGAATTCCAATCTTCAGATCAAGTCCAATGTCCATTCCGTTGTATGCTATGGGAGAATACATCCATAAATCATCAGAGCTCAACAGCTACAAAAATACCAAAACAAAAATCATAACAATTAGCAGCAAATTCAGGATTCAGAGTCATAATGAGTTTGATCGTGTTATCCATCTGTAAATATGTTGTGAAGAGAAAATATGAGTTACCTTGATTTGAAGTTGCAAAAATTTGACATACTGGACAGCCTCTTCAAGCATGGTGCTAATATCAACCTGTCATGAAAACTCTTGCTAATCAGATTCCAGTTTTAACACAACACATCATTAGTTGATGCAGTTTCATTCAGTATAACATATACCTTTGTTCCGTTAGGGACGAGACTCTGCAAGATCCTCAATCTCTCGTTAATTCTCTCTCTTCTTTTCTGTAATAAGAGAAAGGCTTATTAAAGACCAACATTTTTAGATGAATTTGGATAACATGAATTACAATGCAGTTGATACTTACCCTTGCATACAGACTCTGAGGATCTGTTGCTGAGCCTCTGTTGGCTCTGGATTTTCCATTGGGCAAAGAAACTCCTTTTGAGTTATCGCTCGAAGCTAATCCATAGATATCATAACTAGAAACATTAGATTCATCTTCTGAACAGCAACTAAATGAGCTCTGTCTATGAAGCACAGTATTATTATTATTATTGTTTCCAGTCTCCTCATCATCAGCAACACTACTCTTCATGTTCTTCTTTGGTTTTACGCTTCTCTTGTTCTTCTGGAAATATATATATGTATATAAGTAACGAATAATTTAATGAGATGATGAAACATTACAAATATTTGAGTTCAGATGAAACACTCACATGATCAACAGGCGATTGTGATCTTTTCTTAGAGCTTTCTGGTTGATGCATTTGATCATATTCTCTTCCTAGCTGCAAGCTCTTTCCATGAAGAACAGATTCAGACATAATGTTTTCACCTGATTCAATACTGTCATTGTTCACTTGTTTGTTCAAAAATTCAACAGCATCCGCTTCGATTAAATTGTTAGTTGGAGGCAAATGTTCCATTGTCATTGAAGTTGTCAATAACATTGGTTGAAAATGATTAGTACTAGTTGGGAAATGGTAGATGCTACTATTAGTATGATGTTGAGAAGAAAAAATTGAAACTTCACTACTTCCTCCAATGTTTGATTCATGATTTGTCCAAAAATTTGGAAGTCCACTACTAGGTAGTTGTTGTTCATTTGGACAGGCACCAAATAACTGCGCCATGAAATTCGCCTCCTCGGTAGAACATGTTCCACTTAAGGAACTCCATTCACCTTCAGACATGGCTACCACAGGTTCCATTCTATTTTTTCTGATTATACAGGGAGATGTTCGATATTATCGATATATATCCTTCTATATTATTACGGATAGAGGCTTATACTTGAACGTTTAGGTGTATATATATATATATATCTATGTAAGAATATTCCTTCATATAACAAAAAACAAATGTAGGAATGTGACAGTGGATATATTGACTTTGTTTGGTATTCACTGTATTTCAATATTTTAGGACTTGGTAAAGCCAATTCTTTTGAACTAGCAATCATTTGTTAATGATGTACAATTAAGACAGGCGCTACAACAAAAATAGTTTTTAGCGCTAATAAAATACACAGGCATTTGTTAATCTGTCATACGGTCCAATGTCTGACATTTGGAATGAAAACTGATTGCCACTAAAAATAGTTATGTGAGCTAACAATAAAATGATTAATGAACTCTTGAGAGGGCATGAATTTGAACTCCAATAATAAATAAGTGTAAGAGAATATGATTGAAACTTAAATCATATAGTATTTGATGAAAGGATAAAATGTTGTTATCAAAAGCAATGAAGTTAGGTAAAGATAGAATTAAGTGAGATATCATTTGGTGAAGTAGATACTGCAGAGAATCATATCTGGCAATCTATAGAACGTGCGGGGTCTTTTATTCATAATAAAATATATTAATGAAAATGACAACATCCTCAAATAAAACATAGATCGTGATGGGTGAGGACATTTAAACTATTTGCTGCTTCACAGAAAGTCTTCTACCTCACTACCGGTCGCACAACTAGAATTTAAAGTTTATAAATTTTGAATTATAATCTTTAAGTTAATGAGTTCTGAATTCTAATCTTTTCAATTTTAAGTTTTTATGAGTTTTGGATTCTAGTCTTTTTAATTTGAAGTAAAGGAGTTCTGAAATCTAATCTTTTCAACTTACTCCTCTATATTTTGTATTTTTATCCAACGTTCATAATTTCTTAAAGCCACAAATATTTTTGGACGTTTTTTAAAATGTTGACTTTCACTTTCTGAATAGAAAGAAAGAGGTCAAGCCAACCTTTCACATACGCGTAACTGAAACCTGCTTTTACATGATCAAATCAGTTTGGAATAGTAATAGAAATTTTTGTCATTCATTTGATTTGATTTATAAACGCAAAGAATTCTCCTAACCAAAACTTTACTAATGAAAGTAAAGAAGCAAATCAGGATAAAGCAATAACAATATGATGTAAGAAACAAGTATTTGTTTAAAAGTTTTAACTGAAGGGAAAGCAAGAAATAAAGACTCATTGAAAAGAAAGATTGATTTTTTAGAAAAATTTTACAATGGGAGAGGTCCAACCAACAATAGTTGGGTGACCCTCCATTGATTAATTGACACTAATAACATGCAATATTTTTTAATAATATCAAATTAACTTAAAAATATTTAGTGTTTCAATTACTAGCACCTAAAAGAATTAAATTAATTCAAATTTAGTTTTTCATTTTTTAAAATTCTGTTTTACTTTATATATTTATAGTCATTGTTATTTTAATTCTGTTTTAGTTCATATGATATTATTTTAAAAAATATTGTATGATATTAGTATTTTAAATTCTTCGTCCTAAATTTTTTTTTTAGTTATTGTGATAAAAGAAATATTTATTAATTCTTTTATTCAATATATCAACAATTTAAGAAAATGAAGTTAAAAAATATTTATTAGAAGTAAGAAAATAAAAAATTAAAAGAAAAGAAAGGTAAGTAAGAGAAAGATGGTAAAAAGGTAAAAAAAAAACATACGTTTATCCATGTGTCAATTAATCAATTGAGGATCACCCAACTATTATTGATTGGACCTCTCCCATCGTAAAATTTTTCAATTTTTTCTTCTTCTAAAACTCAACTTAATTAAATTTAGGTGAATTTTTTTGTATATATATGGCTCTAGAAGGTAAAAGTCAGAAAGGTAACTTTTGACTTTCTTGAGTAATCAAGATTTTCTAATATGAAATTATCTAGTAGATCTTATTGATAGTATCTTATTAAAAATATATTGGCCTATTGAGACTTTAGATTTTCTGAAAATTGACAAATAAAAACATATCTCAAATCACATCACAAAAATATCTGGTATTGGACAAAAGCATACTTTTTTGTTAACTTGAGTGATAGAAAAAGATAAAAACTTACTTGCATCGATTATTTACATAAATATATGAGACATATTTTCTACACATATATTTTTGTTATTAAATTGAATAGTTAATTTATACTCATAATTTCCTTAACTTACTATTTTAATCATAATAAATTAAAAGTTACACTATGACTATTTCCCTTCATCATTCTAAATTGTGCTTGATATTTCACATATTGTTTGCTTAGGTGAATGCAGCAAAGGGTCTTGGCATAACATTAGGATTATAATTCACACATAAAATTATTCAAATAAGACTAATCTTGTTGGAACAGATTACTTGAAGTTATTAAATATATACTTTATAGTTTAATGGATTTAACAAAATTGTTGGTTATGGACTGACCTAATTTCTTGTCTGCTTTCGTAGTTATATTTGTGAATTATTTATATGAAAAATAGCTGTCTAGCTGGTGGACCTAGCCTCATAAACTATAAATATTGATTGTGTAAATAATTTTTAGAAAAAGCGTATATAATTGAATTTAGCAAAAGTGTGAGAGCAATTTAATAACTTAATGGTTTTCAATATATCAAATTTCAATATAGATAAAAATAAATTAGTTTGTAATCAATGATAAATATTATTTCTTTGTCTCATTTTATGTGGCATCATTTTCTATTTAATCCGTACCAAAAAGAATGTCACATTTTTTATATTGTAAATATTTAAATGTACAATTTTTCTTTTATCTTTGTTGGTCTCATTAAAAAGTAGTACTCCAATACATTTATGAGGAGAAGTATTTTTCAACGACTATTTTTTAAAAGCTATTTTGATAAATATTTCAAATTTTCATTTATTTTTTTAGATTTTGAATCGATCAAATATTATTACATAAAATGAGACAGAGGAAGTATGTGTCATGGCATGTAACAATTTATAACAACCAACAAGTGTCAATGGCTCATTACTTCATTATATTTCGATTGAAGCCAAAGATTCCGGCGGTGTTAACGCTTCAACACGCGTCGAACTACCAGTAAAATAGGGACTTCTTCCACCATTATAAAAGTTAAATATCAATATGTTAAATTTATTAAGATTAATCGAGTCAAATTGGGCGGGTCAAGACCCAACCCATTTTTAGCCCATTGAGCCCAAAGTAAACTTGGGATGGTCAAGACCCAACCCGATTTCTATTCAACTCATTTTAATATTTCCAATTTCAATCCAATCTGACCATTTAACACCCCTAATCAAATCGATTAAATTTATTTCTTAGATTCATCTTTTCATAATAATACATCCATCATCTTAAAATCTTAAATACGCCTCTATCCCGGTCTCACAATCCCTGCCCCTCACAGTAATATGTTGGTTTACTATAGTACTATGTTCACATGCAACAACATTTTTGCTGAAGTATCCAGAAAAAAAAACCCCATTTATTTTCTCAGGAAAAAGGATCAGATACATCTTTAGTGTAATTCAACTCGATATAATTGATAACAATTAATTATTTTATATTTCAAATTATGTTTTTCTACTTGTTATGAAAATATACACGTCTTATAGTAAAAAAAATAAAATTTATTTTAGTGCCAAAGAATTCAAACTCTAAATGAATATTGCAGATATAAACATTTTTAGAAGAGTGACGCGTGCCGGCCATTGCACGACGTACTTTAATATTCCTTCACATCCAATGATCATATTAATTAAAAAAACCATGCACAATACATTTAAAAACGAGTTGCAATTTCCCATTTTCTATTTACAATATATATTTTAATTAATAATCGAAAGTCCGCCCACAACACGAGTTTATCAGATTAATTAATATTTTTTGTGGATCCTTTTAGATTAAGAGAGGATATTAAGAAAAACTCTTAACATTTTTTCTATGGATTCTTTTAGATTAAGAGAGGATATTAAAAAAAAACTTAAAAGAGTTATATCTAACGGTTACATTTTTATTTATTTTTTATTAGGATGATATTTATTTTTTTTGAACCAATTAGTTTAGACTTAGAGCTTATTTAACGTAAATATAGAATGACGAATAATTTTTTTTATCAAGAATGTATATCAATTTATTTTAACTCTTAAAAAATTAATCTCACCTAAATTTTAAACACTAAAAACAAACGCACTATTTTAATAATATTAGTAAAAGCTGATTTCCAATTATCATAAAGTATGATAAATAAATAAATAAATAAGAACTATCATTTAATGGATATTATTTCATCTTGTGAGGACATAATATCGAGAGAGAAAAAAAGAACTATATATTTCTCTCTATATTAAATTAAGCATAAAATAAATTCAGTTTGAGTGGCGGCCTGCACGTCTGCAAATTTGTCTGTTTTGTTTCTATAAGCCTGAGGCATTATTTCTCTTTTGAAAAAAAAAATAGTTCCCTAAAATAAAGCATAATTTATTATTTTATTTTGTTTTATTTTGGAGGGGGTGCCCAATCATGGTAAACTATTATAAATTGCTAGTACAGTTGTACAATTATATAGTACTAATATTTCTTTTGGAAAATAATATCTATATATACGATATTCATTTAAAATAATGTAAAGTGAAACATCAATTAATTTGAAAAAATTATACATCAGTACTGCTGTTGGAAAAATATTAGTAAAACACAATTTTGATAATTTCAAAACGGGCTTCAGATTTGGGGCACTCTCTTTTCGTATTTTGCTCATTGAATCAAATCAAAGGTTCCAAATGGTCAGTATTATACTCCAAATTAAAGCAAACATTTAGCTTATTTCAACTACTATATCTTGTCATTTAAGAAAAGTATAATCTGCCGCTACAGTTTCTTCAATTTTTGTTATTCGTCTGATTTGTATGAATGTGAATTTATATATTTTGGTTCCTGATGATATAAATCGAGAATTTTGTATATGCTTACTCTAGTTATTAGTATACGATTTACGAAAAATTCACAATAAATTATGTTCTTTATATATTGGCAAGCGAAATATATAAACAGAGTTCTTAAAAATTCTAAATATAGAATTTGTATACACTTACCCTATAGGTATATTACTATATTACCAAGTGAAGTATACAAACGGACAGAAATATACAAACTGCAGCCTCCATAGCAAACAGAATTAAAGTATGGAGCGCAATTATAAAAATTATAATTATAAAGTCTTATTATATCTATTATGTTTGTTATTTCTGAAATTTTCTCTATAGAGTGAGAGGAAAAAAATTAATCAACTTGCATGAACAAACTTAAAATAATTGTATTTCTTAAACCAGGAGTATGATTTGTTCAATTTATAATTGAGAATAAGAAAGCCTTAGTCGCTGAAAGAACATTCTGTTGGAAGATACGAAGCCAAGAGAATTTTAAAATTAAATTCAAATCAAATCATTACCAGTTTAGTTACCACACTCCACAATCATTTTTATTTGATTTTTAAGAAAAAGAGTATTTATTTTATATAATTTTTCACGAAAAATATCTATTAAATACATACGCTCCCCTTGAAAAATAATGAAAATAATTAAGAGTAAACGAACGATAAAAATAAATAACCTATCATCTCAAAGCTTATTGAAAAATCGAGTACTAAGACTTTTCAAAGATTGGTGAGAGGAGGATGTTGAGAAGTACTTTAATTAAACTTTTATTCATGCTTTAATTATATATATATATATATATATATATATATATATATTTAAGTTCTTTGAGACACATAATTTCATTGGTCTTAACGAATATATAACTCAAAGACAACATAAGATTTTGCTACATATAAGGGTCGTTCATGTCTCGTGAGACGAGGCTACCCTAATTTTTTCTACTTGCCTTATAGCTCCATTACCTTTTGAGAGGGTGGGTACCTACTTATATATAATCCATTTAATATAATTTTTTTCATTTTTATTTTTGTAGTTGATAGCTTCGAATAATTTAAATTTACACTAAATAAAATTTATTAAACAAAATAATAAAATTGTTTTTATTCATAAAGCTTAAACTCAAAATCTTTAATTAATATCGACTATCTACCGCTTGATTGCGTTTGAAAGCTAAACTTCTTAAATATAGATACATCTTATTTTAATTAAATGTAGAGATTGGTGTGGTTTGAGAGATGGAGAATTGTCGAATTGCGGCGACACGTTGAAACAATATATGTATTTAATCTAATTCTAACGACGCGTTTTCTCATGCAATATATTAGTAATATGGTATATCTAGTTGCTCTAACTGTGAAATTGTAATTACCCCATGATTAGATATAAAAACATTGAAATAAATAACTATATGTTAGAATACAAGTGTTGAAGGTAGAATAAATCGTTGATAAGTGTTGTACAAAATACTTAATAAAATGAGTGGATTATTAGTAAATCGGTTAATAATATAAGAGAGCTTATGTTTGCGAGATTTTTAATCTTTAAGACTTTAAATTGACTAAAAAGCAAATTAATTGATGTTGCAATCCACTTTCATCTTTTACCAAATACTATTGAAAATATTTTGGCAATCATCCGGCCTAATGGCGACAATCTTTAAATCATCATAAACTTGTTAAAAAGCATGATCGACTAGCGCGGTTCATTTCCTCAATCAATTGAATTTCATTTCTTTTCATGCCTAGTATTAAATAAGAAATTTGACGATCCGCCAATTTTGGCCCAAGTTCTAATAAAACAGTAAATTTTGAACCATTTATTAAAAATGAACCCGAAGTTTGAACGGCATGATTAATAACGACACATATTTCCTGAAATAACTTGGATCAACATCTGCTGTGCAGAACATAAAGCTTGATGAAAGTAAACTTTACATTCCATAAGCCATATTCAGTTATAGACAGGCATTGATGGCATGATTTGAAGTTGGAACAAGAAACAAGAACAATACAGATATAACCCCGGAGGAGTAAAATTTATCATCAGTGCAACTACTAAGAATTTCTTTTCTGAGCAGAAACTTCAAAATAACATGCATGAAGACTTGCTTAAAGAAGTGATTTTCTGGGATCCTATTAATGTGAGAGCCGATGCCTGTCAAAAAGGTTAAAAGCATCTCTACATACAGTTTCCAAATATCAGGACTTCTACTGACATATTAAAACCAGTAACATGATAGAAATGAGATTTGTGAAGAGGCAAACGGATCTCAGGCTTGCATATCCTTGTTAAATCAAATTCTTCATACTAATCACATGATTTCACCAATTTCAAAGCCATTAACAGAATGTAATCGGTTGCAAAAACAATGTGACAAGGTGATATTATTTCATTTCAGCATGTTACTCTATTTAAATTCCAAAAAGAAGTAACTAAAAAAACCAAACAAGAAAAAGAAATGGGAGGAGAGAGAGAGAGAAGGCTATCAATGAGGTACATGGGAGCTGGGGAGGTATCTCTATAAATCACAGGTTACCAAGAATTTTGTGTTCCACCCAAAACAGTGACATGATGACAACAAAGACTGAGCACGTACAAGCAGCAGAAGAATAAGCAACTCTTGTCGGTCCTGTTGACAAATGATGTATAGCCGTAACTCAGGCCACCAAAGACTTAATGGCCATAAAATTACCACTATTCATTATCAGGCAGCTCCTCATCCAGACCACTCTGAGCAATTCTATAATACAGGATACCCATGGTTGCCATGCAAGCCCTGCACATAAGAGAGAAGAGAAGTTTCATGTCCACCAAAAACTGAACCTAATAATAATACTAATGTCAACAATAAAAATACACATCAACAGCCTTAACATAGTCATCTGAGAATTACTTTGGTGCTGAATGTACAAGCAATCTTAGGATGTAAGCTAGCAAACTTCCTTCTTCCAGGAGGGTTTTCCTTTTTTTCTTTTTATTTGTACTTTTCTATTGAAACTGGGTATATGAACCAGATATTTTGGGTCAAGTATCTATGTTTACAACTTGCAGTCTTCCCATAAGTAGGCAGGCAGAAATTTTCAATACTGATAATGTTTGTCCTGATGCAAAATGAACAGAACAAAAGGACACGTGACATATCAATCTGAACAAGTTCAAAACAATGGCTAAGACAAAATTAAGCATGGTTTCAAGATCTCTTAGTCTTCAAAGTATCATTTATCAAGCCTTCTTCCTTAAACTACCTTATATTTAAATTTATGTACAATAAAGACAGAATTCAACATAATCAATTTGATCAAGAAAGAAGCAATAAAATGGGGAAGCCAAGAATCAGAATTAGCATTACATGATTGCTATAATGAGGAGGAGTTTTCTTGGATCCATTCTTGAAGATTTAAGATGGCGCTGACGACCTTCGGTGACTTCATCAGCATTTGATGCATCTTTTCGTGGTGGTGCAGTTACTGGTAGAGTTGGCAAGGAACTCGACCAAAAAGGGAGCAATGATCTCATAAACTTATGGCGAAATGAACCTGCTGATAAAAGGCATTAGTTTGTCAAAGACAACTACACCAGTTGGGTCTACACGAATCTTATATATCTAATCCATCGTCTCATTCTCTAAAGCTAACAACTTTCTAAATCTCATGCTTACTCTGTGACATTAACATACAAATCTATATCTAAATTAAAGACTCCTGACAAGCACCTGACTTAGTGTAATACCCCACAATGACTAAAACATAATTCCTAAGTAGTCAATATCACTTATATGGATAATGTTCTTTGTTAAGAACATATGGACTAGGTCTTTTCAAACAACTTTACTCCATGTGATTTAGGTTCAACTAATCCCCTTTCAACATAATTCAATCAAATCGTGGCACAGACCAATCTATCTACAAAAGGAATTCTTACTGTGGTCCCTCCTTTGACATGGAAACTCCAAGAACTACAGAGAGCAAATGCTAGTTAATCATACTTCCTACTTTTTTCAGAAAAATCCCAATGGTTTCAAAATGAGACAGATAAATACAGTTTCAGAACACCAAGTGGCAATATCATCCTAGAAAAATAAAAGCAACAAAAAGGCATTGAAAAAAGTATTAGTGGCAAATTGCAATGAACTTTTTCTTTCATTCGACTCATCGGAGCTCAGGCCTCAGCAAGGAAAGATATACACATCATTAAAAGGAAGAGAGCTCACCCCTCTTCGTGTACTTTTTCCGCTTTCCATCCTCATCATCAGCAAAGTATGATACTTCAGAGTTTTGCCTTTCTACTTGCACTGTGTTCTTTCGTGTGGTGGCTCCAGGCTGCTAGGAATGTCATCATGAATAAGGTTCAAATAAACCCAACAACACACAAATTCAAAATCTATTCTACATAGTACGCCTCTTGCAACAATGAAAAAAAAAGTTGCTTACACCAGAAGGACTTGTGCTTTTCATGAAATTGGTCTCGTGATTAGACATAGATGACGGTGCTGAGGTGGAGCCATCTATTTCCACAATGTCCAGGCTTGCGGGTTTGGAAGAACCTGTTGCAATTGCAGCTAATCCTTCAGAATCTTTTCCACCAGTTGAAATATGCTTCAATGGATCAGAAGCAAAAGCAGGTGGAGGACCTCGAGGTTCCGTTCCGGGCAGAGTCACTGGATGGTTTCCAAACAATTTTTTCTCCAGGCCAGTCTGCAAAGCAGCAAAAGGTCAGAATGGTGATTCACAACTGGTTTGTTTGCGACAATGAAATTCAACCCCCCCCCCCTTAAACGAAATTGAAAGCAAAAACACAGACTATTTCAGAAGAAAATCTTATTAGGAACTATGACACCTAACTTGGAAATGAAATATCATCCCGTAGCCAAGATACCACACAATACAAGAAGTTTCATCTAATAAGTTACAGCCAGCTAATGGAGACGAAGCTTATGTACTATCCTTACTACAATCATCTTCATTAGAAGATAGAAGGTTCACATGGGAGCCAATGACCAATGTATATGATGGCACATAGATATAACAGTATATACATTGAATATTCAGAATAAAGCAATTAGTACCATCTATGGTGGAATGTGGAGGGTGTACTCCAGGAAACCAAGATAAACCAGAAAGTTCATTTTCCAATATGGTTGAGGTAAATTGATCAGGATGTTTTAATCTAACACTCGCGTGAGAAAATGACATGACATTTATGGGCTAATCAAATATAGGTCTGAATCTGTCACTTCAACCAATACACTAAACATTATTGTTGGAACCGTCAAACTCACCACTCACCATCCCCCATTATACCAAATGTAACTTACGTCTATGCCAACCAAATATCGACAAAAGAAATCGTTGACAAAAGATATTTTACATGGTAAACATTTAAAGTCACACAAATGACAAAACACACCGTAAAGCTACGACATTGTTGAAACATGAGATATATTATTTCAAAAGAAAAATAATAGAGGATAGATAATTTAGTTATGACGAGAAGGTATGGATGGACAAAGTCAAACAGAAAAGCACAATGAATGCTCAAATTTAATAGGGGCTTCATTCTCTTCTTTTTTTTGAGAAGGGGAAAAAAGACTTTATTGTGACTTTCTCATCAGACATTTTTTCTGAACCACTTAAAAGATAAATACAGCACATTTCACCAGCGTACGGTGCCTGACTAACCAAAAGTCCACCATGCATTTATTTGTCAACCCTTATAGAGAAAATAACATGCTTCAGAAGATTAAACCTACTTGCAACTACATACTACTCTATGCAAAATGTCATCAAGCCAACTGACCGTAGTCATGATATGGAACTGCTAAAACGAACCTCGACGACCAAAAGGAAAAGTAAACAATGTAACAAGGAAATTCCAAAGATTGTGCAGAATATCCTGCCAAAGAAATTCAATAATAGAACATATTAAGGGGACACAAGGTGGAGAGTCTTTATTGGAATTTGTGATTTAGAAGGGAATTTCATGATTTGGAAGTGCCTGAGTTTTAGTGATTGATTGCCTTACTCCATGGGCAGGTCAATCCGGTTGATAAACCACATGCTTGGTGGGAGTCTTCAGAATCAATGGGGTGTTCTCAGTGAACTCCTATATGAAACTGTTGGTTAGAGAGGATATGTTTTTCCATGTAATGCGATATGGATATCAAAAGGTGCCAAAGATGGACTGTTGCTTTCACTTGGCTAGCCGCTAGAGGGGTGATTTTGACTGCGGGAAATCTTAGAAAGCCAAAGGTTGCTTGCGTCAATTGGTGTTACATGTTTAACAAGACGACTGAGGACGTGGATTATCTTCTTCTCCATTGCAGGCATCCATGAGGTATGGTGAGATATCTTTAGGTGGTTTGACACTACATAGGCAATGCCAAAAACTGTGAAAGAGTTGATGTTCAGCTAGAAGAGCAGTAGGAGGAGAAGACGAAGGGCTTGCAACGAGATTCCACTTGCATTACTGTGGGTTGTTTGGAGAGAGTGAAATAGGAGAGTTTTTGAAGGATTTAGAGTCTAGTTTGTCCCAGTTAAGGAGTAGTCTCTGTTCACTTAGTTTCTTTGGTGCTCACATAAAGTTCCTTGTTGTATAGAACTATAGATGTTGGTGGAGTTTGTAGAGAATCATATCATTTTGTAGATTCTTTACCTTCTGGTTTAGTTTGGCCATGTTTATAAATGAAAATATATTTACCTGATAAAAGAAAAAAGGGAACACCCACCGAACTTCTCTTGGTGAAGGAATATAAAATCACAATTTGATTGTTCAACACCCATCATGTCAGTAAACAATCAGCTTAGCTGTCACAGCCTAGCAAAAGTGCACTTCAACAAGGAGACAACTAGAAATTCAGAACTTAAGAAGTAACACCAACGGGAAGTGTTTAAGCAGCATAATGAAGGTCAGGATCAAAACCACCGTATTCTACTTTATATTGTTTTCTTTGGCTCAAAGAAGCAGATAAACACAAAAAGTGATAAACATGCATCACTGGAATCATTCCAAAAGTATGGCATTGTCGGAACACGAGTTTGAAGTATGAAAGTGTTAAGGTGTTATTCTTCATAATCATCACAAAGCAAGAATATCCCAATAACTAAATGACTCGAAGAAAAAAAAGGGGGGGGGGGGGGGGGACTTGCGCTTGCAACTGACAACACAATTACCTGCATAATAGCTTCTTTCAACTTTGTATGGAAGCGTGATCCTGATTCTTTAACACTTTTAGGAGGCCATATCTGCATCGACAAAGTATCTCCTATCAATGGTGATTGAGAAATGAATATGGCCAAAACACGCTTAAGCTCGTGTATCAAAGCGTCAGAAAGCTTTTATGCCAATATGTCCAAAGTGGAACATTTCTAATGATCTCAAAGTGGTTATTTCTGAATTCATTATTCAATAAAATAATCATCTTGTCTCAATAACCGAGCAATTGCTGATGGTCAATGGCAAAATTCATAACTCGGCCAGTAATAGGTCTGGCCCTCTACCTTTCTCCACTTAAATACCAACCAGGATTTTGACTGGTCAGGATATGGATTTGTAACAAGTGGTTAACCCACACATCACAAGTTGCACTCCCACCAGTAGACTAGTGCCAGTGAGCAAAGAGAAATCATCTTTTAGCTTCTAACTAGAACAAAATCCTACTAGTAAGCCGGTTAACTGCAAAAACATAAGGCAGTAACTAAATGCAGGTGAACAAAAAACAATCACAAATTCATTGAGAAATAGACTTGCGATGGAACATATATTTTCTTTTTTCTGCTACTTGTGTTAAATTCTTTAATGAACTGGAACAAAAAGCAGATGCTAAGGTACAAAATAGTCTCTCTCTTCTAATCCAGGTAATACTACTAAAGCTCTTTCCATAACTGAAGACATTTTATATACAGACAATGTGTTATGCCTTTTAAGTCATCCTAGCAAAAGACTGTACAGCTGAAATTCACACCTTAATCCAGCCATATTTTTTCCTTTTTGTAACCAAGAAATCCCTGAAGACTAATGGCAACAGTTCAAAACTTAGTGAGTACTGGCCGCCCCTCTACCCTTCTCCACATCAGACATTTGTGTCCGGCAGGATCAGACCCATAAGGTGCACCTAATCCACATATTATGCGCCGCAGCAGCCTTACCACTAGACCTAATCCTAAGGGTCCCGAATCGAGCCATTTCATCCAGAAGAGTATCTCGACTATCAATTTCTTATGCACAAGAGCAACATAAAATACTTGTATAATAATTGTGGAAGGCAGACTGTACCGATGTTGAACATTCAGGAATAGGACACACATAGCCAGCTGGAGCAGTGTGTGGCGGAAAAGATTTTAGATGTGAAACCAAGCAGCTTGTATGTATTGTATCTGCAAGAAGCAACGACTGATGTAAAAAATACTACAAGAGAAGTTATCAACGTATTAAGGAAGGTATTTTGTATGTCGCAATGGATTAGCAAGATTACATACGCAAGCAACCCAACCGAGTTATCCCAGCATCAGTTCCTTCTTCAAGCTCAGACTTACAATAGCAACATTTAGGAGGCCAGTCATACTCTCCATCTATGACCCACTCGGAATATGCGCGGATCTGAAATTGGGATTTCTTTAAGGAAACACAAAATGATGGAAGATAGAAGAAAGCAAGTGGATCTCATTGGAAGCAAGATCAAAAACAAAACAACTTGACAAGAATGTAATGAAAAATACGAATTATATAAAAAATGCAGCAAGGTAGATAGCATATCCCATATTCCCAAAAATAATATTAAATTAGTCAGGTCTTATCAAAATTAGTGTACAACGCCTGATGGAAAATAAAGTGAACAAAAATGCATATATTTTGATCACCACGAACTTTAATAGTGATTCAAGTGAAAACATAAACATCACCAATTACAGTAGAAATTCAGAATGACTACTCAGTCGGCATAGTAGTATTGGCTTTGATCAAAATCATTAATGAGAAGATTGATTGCATTAGCACCTTCTGACACCCTCGAGCTAAGATCTCAAACAGCTTTTTCACAATAGAATTGGTCATTAATGATAAACAAAACATATATCCTATCAAATAAAAAACATCTTGTCCTCCACGGTTCAGAGTTCCAGTCTACTTTGTTATTAGGACCGAAAAATTGAAAACTATGAAGTTTTATGTAAACAAATATTAGTGCAATCATCTGAATGAGGTTCCATCACTCATCTTATTATCAATTCACTGATAAATAAAAGTCACATATTGAGACAAATGGAAAATACAGACGTAAGCAGCATATTTGATAAAAGCCGAAAGATAAATAGCAAAAATACAATACCACGCATATTTGATGCTCCGGAAAGCATATGCATTCTCCACAAACAGCGATTTTGTGCACGAAACAGTATAATTTAGTTGCCTGCAATCCAACACAATTTACACTTCAATTGATCATATGAAACATCACAAGTCAAAGTCCTCAATGGACATTAAGGATGAAATTTTCAGTAAACAACCCAGACATACTTGAGAATTTTAGGGTAAAAAATCACGAGATAGAGGTTCAGTTAACTTTCATAGAACAATAAGCTTTTACAGCCTTCATTAATGAATCTGGAAAATCGACACACAAATTAAAATACTACCAGCTGGAATTCAGTAAAATCAGCAATGTACGATTGGAATGGCAATTAAACATCCGATCGGATCAAATTGCAATAGAAACCCACGTTTATTTTTCATACAATCGACTTCTAACATTTTCAAAATTACAAATTATCTGATCATCTGAACTAACAAACACATCTATCGCACACGCGAGAGAGGAAGAGAGAATAATACCTTCTTACATTTGCAGACCACCATTGCATGGGCTAAAGTAGCAGTGAAACAGACGAGTTTGAGATCGGGGATTCGATAGACAGAGAATTGTTAGGGTTTAGGCTGCGGAGAATTCGAATCAATAGCAGAATTCAGAGAGAGAAACTCCAGTGTGTGTAGCGGCAAATGGCAACAATTTCAGATTTATGTTTATTAAGTTTAGGGGGAGTTTACAGATCCGTTTCGATGTTTGGGAGTTGTTGAATGGTTTGATGACGATGGCGCTCGTTACTGGATCTGTGGAGCGTGGGCTCGGTGTTGGGCTTTCTTATGGGTACCAAAACCACTTGTTACGCAAATTATTTTAGTTTAATTGTATCTATAATTTAAACGTGTTGTAAATATTGTATTTGAAAATTATTTTTCAGATAATATATGGATCTTGAGTTCAATATTTATTCGTATACTAGGAAATTTGGCCGCGCTTCGCGCGGTCTTTAAAATAAATATTAAAGGATTACTTTTTTTAATTAATTTTATAGCTCTCTTTATTTTCAAACGTAATATTATCACTTTATTTTTTTTACTTATATATTAATTATGAATATCGTTTTTTAGATGACGATTGAAATGAAACTTAACAAATTTAACATCTATAATCTATTAAATGAGGGATAGTACATTATTAATCAATATGTCAAATGTCAATATATATTTTCTTAGTAATTTTTTTGTTTGGACATGTAGTTAATATGTCACTTTCTACATTTTATTAGAATATCAATGAGTTTGAATCTTTATATTACAACATATACTCCGATGTAATTTTTTTCTTGAGTACATAAGAATTATATTATAAATAACTGAAAAATACTAATAAAATACATCTACACGTCTTGTTATCCTTTTTCATATTGATATGATAAAACTCATTTGAATATTTCATTTTTCAATCGTTTTTGTTCCTTTTTTCAAATATACTATTTAAATTTGTATGATTTTTGCATGAATCACATCTATTGGTATTTTAGATTCTTTAGCTGCACCTATATCAAAGATAATTGTTATCGTTTGTCAAATTTGTTTTTTAAGGATGTTATCCAAAATGTTACGCTATTATTAAATTTCAATATAATCAACCTCGATGAGAATATGTTTTTTCAAAAAAATTATTAACTCGTTTACTATATTTTAATCTATATCTTTTATATGAAATATAAAGATAAAAGATTTATATAAACTACGTAAAAATATTTGATAGATAATAAACATCTTCACATATTATGTGTATAGAATAATAAAATTTAAAAGTTAATTAAATTGAATACTCTGATAATATGTTTCATTTCAAATATATTTTTTGCATTCTCAAATCAATGATTGCACCTCTTTCTATATAAAATTAATACATGAACACCCTAAGATATATATTCGTTACTTAGTATATTAAAATAATTTAAAATTTTAATCATACTTTTGTGTTTATTTAGTTAATTCATATGGAAAATTTTTATGTACAAAATTTTGTGTTTCATTTTTAAAAAATATATTAAAAATCAAATCAACTTACTTAGTCATTTATATTCATCTTTTATTTTAAATTTTCAAAAGATACATACTTAATAAAAATAAATTAATTTATCAAATGCATGAATAAACTTTTTTGGCATATATGTTTATCCTATTTTTAAATTTCATAAAATGTATATTAAATATTTATATTCACCATTTTATTTATTTTGATCTATATTTAATTATACTTCAAAAGAGTTACAAAATATGATTTTCATAGTATATCAAATACAAGTATTTAATATTACAAAATATTTGCATGGAGCACAATTAACATATAAGAAAATCAAAGCAAAAAGAGAACAATTTTGACTAAAAAATTTACAAAATCTTCAATTATGAGATCAATATTTTCTAAAAAATTTTGAACATAGGTGAGTTTTTATCATATTCTAGACAAAATTACAATAACTAATTTGTATCTAACAAAGGTACATATTTGTGACAATAAAAAATTCATAAAACTTCAAACATGATAAAATTCATGAAAAAAAACATAATGCACACATCTTTTTATGACTTTAATCATAAGAACATAGTGAAAAGAATAATATAAATTAATGTAGAAATTTAAAACTCTTATCGACACTATTTTCGACAAACTAATCAATAATCAAGAGTCTTCTTCACCGAGTCAAGCATAAGAATTTGATAATAATAATAATAATAATAATAATAATAATAGTAATAATAATAATAATAATAATAATAATAATAGCAAAACACTACTTCAAATATGAAGTGAAAAGAATAGTCATGAGTAGAAATAATGAAAACTCAATCCAAAGAAATTAAATGAAAAGAACACACATCTTCCTTAACCTTAATCACAAGAAAATAAATGAAAAATAGAAATATAGATCGATGCACAGTTTTTTTGAACTTTTGTCCAACATCCTTTTTGACAGACTAATCAACATTTAAAAGTCTTCTTCATCGAGTTATCCTAAAAGATGAATGTGATCCTATAATAATAATAATATTTATAAATATTAACAATGAAATAAAAAATAAAATCTCGAGTTACATGGAGAGAACACACAACACATCTATCTTTCTTAGTTCCTTTTAATCATAAGAAAATACATAAAAATAATAATGTATAATCAATGCACAATTTTTGTTACTCTTATCCGACATCCCTTTTGGCAAACTAACATCCAAGAGCCTTCTTCGTTGAGCTATGCCACAAAATAAATTCGATCCTACAATAATATAAAGATTAACAATGAAATAAAAAAAAAATCTTGATTTACATGGAGAGAACAAACAACACATTATGAATTTATAAAGGTAAAATTTGAGAATATATTATAAAGTGTCTATATTGTAATTAAATACTTGGGGGTTATGAATATGAAAATTTAATATTAAAAGAGTTAATGATAGTATTAAAAGTAGAAATTTAATAGGTATAAGTTATAAATATGAAATTGTAAAAATAAATAAAAGAGGAAAAGAATAAATATAAAAACGAATAAAGGAGATGAAAGAAATAATTTTATATTATATATAACTATAACTTTTATGGATTGAATAAGTAATAAATATTTTAACAAAATCATAATGTGTTTTTAAATTGAAATAACAATAAATGTTGCCATAAAGTCTAAAGATAGCAATTCAACAAATAATTCTTTATAACAATTTCAAATTTGAGGAGTGAGTAATTTTTTAAAAAAATTGATTTAAAATCTATTTAATTTGGGTAATTAATGTGATGTTAGTGGGCTGAGTTTTAAATGGGTTGGACTGCATTTTTTGGGCTATAACTGAGCAAGTAATTAGCTATAGTATTTAGTGTGATGTTTTTACTCATTTATGTATTTGTTTTGAGATAAAAATAAAAATAAATCAGAAAAAGGATAAAAATAGATATTGACAAATGCTGGCCATTGGAGGGCGCCACATCAGCGGATCAAGATTCAGATTTATATATATATATATATAGATTATTTAATCTTATAAATAAAACTTACAAGTTACAACATTTAATGTTTTTCCCTTAAGGTCATAATTTAATATAATCTTCTAACTTGGACCCTTATTATTTTTTGAATACCTTATTTATGAACATGATTTCCGTATTTAGTAAAATGGCAAATGAATCCATAAATTTTAGATTTTTTTTTACAAGTAATGAAGTTCGCTCTTTTTTCAATAAAAATACATTTGCAGAAGTTCAAACAGGAAGGAGAGTAAGACCAGTATAACTAAGGACTAATTTGACTATGGATTTTATTTTATTTTTTACTTTATTTAAAAAATATTGTTTATAAATTTTAAATATAACTTGTTGCATATGAAATTTAGAGAACAATTTTAGTTAGGGCTGTCAAAAATGAACCCAAACATAGTTAACCCGCCTAATTTGCCAGCATTTTAAGGGTTGACTCAAGATAATTTGAATTGGGTTCAATTTCAATCCAATCAAGTTTAACCCATTTGAAGAGAACTCTCAATTGAGCCCAACACAATTTCTAATTTCAACTCGTTTTAAATTTTTTTATTAAGATATGTTCCAATGTTGTATACATGAATTATTATCTATTAAACATCTTTTAGGATCAAACTATCCATTTTTTACTTTTTTTAACAAAAAAAATCTTGAGGAAAAAATTTAAATTGTGATTATAAAAGTTAAATATTAATATGTTAAATTATTAAGATTAATCGGATCAAATTGAACTGGTCAAGCCCCAAACCGTTTTTAGCCCATTTGAGCTCAAAAAAAACTTGGGCGGGTCAAAACTCAATCTAAATTTAGTCAACCTATTATAATATTTCTAATTTCAATCCTATTTGCCCATTCGACGCTTTTAATTTTACTTTGACTTGCCTCATTTTTATTCTTTTAAATATATATTGAACTTTTTATTTGTATAATATAACCTCATTTAAATTATATTTCATATTTCCATCCCATTTTGAAAAAAAAAAATGAAAGAAAGTAAGAAATTTTATTTTGCTTTCACGTCAAATGCCCATACTCACAAGGCACAAACTGAATAAGAAAGTTATACTGAGTAAACAATTTAAAATTTGATAGGGAATCTTTTGTGTTTGATTCGATGTTTTCGAAGTAGTAGTAGCGCAGCAAAACGGAAAAGACGTTAGGCCTACCTCGCTTTTAGCTCTATAAAATTCTTTTGCCAAAATTTAAAACCCAAACCAATTACTACTCCCTATCTGGCCCCCATTTGAATTCAAATTCTGGAAGCATTCATCTGACCTTTTTTTCATTTTTCAAAATCTCTCTCTCTCCCCTTCTCCCTCCACTCTCTGTGAAACCCTAGTCACTCCATACGCTCCCACATCCTGTACTTAACTCAGAAATCAATCATTTTAAGCGAACGACGGCGATATCATGACGGCGGTGTCGCAATCTGCCGGAAGAGAGCTCGAAAACCCGCCCAAGGACGGCATATCCAACCTCCGCTTCTCCAACCACAGCGATCACCTCCTTGTTTCTTCTTGGGATAAGGTTACTCACTTTTCTGAATTGCTAAATCTCTGAGTTCATTTAATTTAATTTTGAGCAATTTATTGGATTTCATCTCTTTTGTGGCTATTAGATCTTACTAATCTGAATTCTAGTTTGCTTTACTTGCTTGATTTTTGATATGCTTTACTTTGAGCTGAAAGTCTATAAGGCTGTGTACATACCACCGCAGTGGTATTACACTAGATATGTTGTTTCTATATCTTTAGTTTGATTTTTAG